CGTTTTGTCATTTTCATGCTAACCATTTCTGTTAATGTAGTCAAATTGGAAACCTAGACAAATATACAAGGTGAGTTTCTAGGAAACTTAATTATCCATACACCAGTAGATTTTGGCTCCTAAAAACAAAATAAAATACAGTTTAAACTCTATTTTTAGTAACCAACGCTCCATAAAATAGTTTACTAATGTCGGAATACCCAAACGCTACTCAATTTTAAGTCGCGCTTAAGTATAGTTCTGTCACTACAAATAGGGTAGACGACTAATTTTTATTTTAATGTCCGTCTGATAGATTATTTAAAAACATTAGACACGTATTTTTTATTTTCTCACAGAAACGAATAGTTTCGAAGATATTATTGATTTGAAATGTCGCGTGACGTCACTTCTCAGTACATTTTATACTAAGAAATGACGTTTTAGCCCCCACTCCTAAACTTTGATTCGTTTTATCTAAGTATTGTTTTATTATACGACAAAATAAAAAAATACGTGTCTAATATTTTTTCATTACCTAACTTACGGACTAATTATATTTTTAATTTTCATACCCTGTCATCATCCCCATTGTTTGTAAAATGACAGAGATGGCACGATATTTAAGCACGACTTAAAATTGAGTAACATTTTAGTATTTCGGCCCAAGATCAGCTATTCGGCAATCATCGTTGCTTATTCAGGCTATAATAACGTATAAGAAGATGCCTTAGATTTAAATAAAGAAAAAAATAAACACGTTGGCATCCCTAACAGTATTTGCCTTACATAGGCTGTAAAAACTAAGTGCGAATGTGGTAGACCGCGGAACTTTTTGCAAATGTTCGACGTATGTGCTCCTCGGTAGTGCGGTATTTTTGCTGCCCGCAGCGTACGACTAGGTATTATCGAAGCGATATAATTTTATTTGTTGTGTTTTTAAAATTCCTAGCATTTTTTTCTATGTCTTCAGAACAGAGTGACTTTTAAATTTGTATTTATTTGCGATTCTAAACTTGGTTCTGATGAGATAACATATTTTTCGGAATGTAAAATAAATGTCTTTTGTATCCCACGCTTGGTATTTATACTTACTCGGGTTGTAGATCTCCCTATAAGTTTGTAATAAAATCAGCAGTAATCGTCGGTGAATCGTTACAAGTAAACCTGAACCTATACTTTCGAAAAATGTAAGCATTTTATCCTTATGCTCTACAAAATATTCGAAAAAAAAACAGCAGAACTGTCAAAACAGTAACATTTCTTTTACAAAAAGACGACCAAAAGAATCGATTCTTCGGTTCCCGATTACCTTCATTGTCAAGTCACTTTGTTTGTGACTGAAACGAATTGGTTTTTGGAGGCAACGATTGAGCCCGCTTAGCAAACAAACCACTCCGTATAACTTGGCCAGAAGTGTGAAAGTAGCTTGTTCCCCTTGATTTATACCGACGACAGGCGCAGATAAGAGAATTTATTTGAAAACCTCTCCCGAACTTTGTCATGTGTATCGTTCGTATGAAAAATAATTTGAATCTTCCTGGTTTCTTTTTTGGAAGTTCTTTTTATGGAGTTGTTTGTTTATCTGAATGCCTTTTATAAGCCTTATAACATATTTGACACCTTGGCCAGTCAAAAAGTTTCCTTTTATTGAAATTTTCGTTTGGAATCGACAATGGTTGCAATAAAGTCGTATTTATTATGTGTGACTAAAAAAATAAAAATATTACAAAACGTTTTTTCAAGTAAAAAATAGTTGTCACAATTCGTATAAAATACAGAAATAAATATTTTCTGTCTAGACTCCTTGTCTTATTTTTAATTCGAATTAAATTGTCTTTTTTATTAAAGTTATAAAAGAACGAAATCTGGGTTGTAACGAAGTTCTAGTGCCTAAATAAAAACGAGCATAAAATCTGTCCAACCATAAACTCGTTTAGATTGTTTTGTCCATTTATGTAATTTATTTATCTACATGATACCAATAAAAATTACAACTAAGAAGATTTTAAAAGGACCATAAATCTAAATTGAAAATAAAGAAACTGCATTTATTGGGCTAAATCTATTACAAGAAGAAAAAGGGACATAATTAGAATTCCTCTTTGATAACTCTACAAAGTTTAAGTTGCAAATCAAATCAAATCAAATGTCTTTATTTGCTGAACAGAGGTGTAGTACATAATTAGTGCCTAAGGTGTTATTTATTTTTGTTACATATTGTATCTCTTTGTTCTACCCGTTGGGCATGCAAATATTGGGGATGTCTCAACCATTGTACGTATTAATGAAATTCACAATCAGTCAATATATGTAGGTACGAGTCAAAAATATCCTTTCACATTTATAAAGCAATCAAATAATTAGTCATCGAAATTATACATCAATAATCGACAAAAAAAAATATAGAAAATAATAGTATGTAAATCAATTAGTCATAAATTAGTTAAATAACAAATTTGTAAGGTTTTCACAAAAAGTATCTGATGTCATTATAGTAGGTACAATACGTAATTCACACCGTCAATTTACTCCACTACAAAAATTGCTAAACTAAATATTTTTACTAAGCTCATTAAATCATATCATGCATGTAAAACAGGAGTCACTGCTCGGATCTTATGGAGGTGCTATTGGAAGACCAGGAGCTCCTGGTCCTAAGGGTGATGCTGGTCAACCTGGACCAATGGGACCACAAGGTGAACGAGGATTCCCTGGTCAAAAAGGAGAAAGAGGTCAGCCTGGGATGGGAGGAGGCAAAGGAGATAGGGTAAGCAAATTTTTTTCAGTGCCATTTATGCACGTAAACAAAACGTGTCTATTTATTTTTTTGCCCTTTTTGCAACTTTAGTGGGTTAATTTGTTATTCATTAGGAAACCTTGCTTTCATTTCTCGTGTATAGAAATGTTATTAGAAGTAACTAACTTAGTTTTGAAATTATTTTCATTTATTAATATGTCAAGTTTCATTCTTTATAATATCTAGTCATAATTTCTAGGTATGTACCAAGAGGTTAATGAATGTACAACAAAACACTGAGTGAAAGCTAAACAAGCGTATAATGATAATTCAAATGATACTGAATTGTAATGTGTACAGGGTTACCCAGGACCTCAAGGTGAGCGAGGATATAAAGGTGACCGCGGTGGTCCAGGGCTGGATGGACGGCCAGGAATACCGGGTGCTAGTGGTAGACCAGCTGATAAAGGAGAAAAGGGTAAATACATATTTTATGAAACAATTTTAGATGTATGATATGTGTTCATTTTTAATTAAATTAATTCTTATTCAGGCACTTTTGGAACGCTTGAACGTCCAAAGTGTAGTTTCGAATGGAGAAGAACGATCAAGAAACTTCATAACATGTATTGTTCGATTCCGCGTAATAATTAATCTGATAAATTAATAGAACATGTCGACTAATAGATAAACTATGATGTTATAGTTGAAGACTTCCTAATAGTATTATTTTTATCAGCCACTATACATCATCGTTTACCAGTAATGTTTAAAGAGACTTAAGTCAAAAAAATATAATCATCATGACTTGGACTGGTAATAACCAAATGGCAGTGTCACAATTTATTTTTATTGTTTACTAGTTCTCAAATAATTTCTTTACCATAGGCGAACGTGGAGAGCCGGGGCCACCAGGCCCTCCTGCGCTTGGCATGTACAGTCCTGAAGATGCAGAATTCCTCACTACAGGTATGAACAATTACACAATTATTAATATTAAAAAAAATAGTCATTAACTGATATACAAAAGATTATTAATAGCTCTGTTCCATGATTTCTGGTAAAGTTTTCGTTAGTCTAATTAACAGCTAAATGTATATTATAACTTTCGTGAGACATACTAAATTAATTATTATGTTTTTCGGGTAACACACGTAATTATTTGACGAGGATTTCGACTAATTTCAAGCCATGCTACATGCTCATATTCGTGAGCAGCATTCCACTACCCGCTACTGAATATGAGCCATTAGCATTGCTTGAAACTAGTCGAGTTCCTTGTCAAATAATTACGTAAGTAAGCCGAAAAAGAACAATTAATAACTAAATTGATGAATTTCACATAATGAGTTAAGAAAGATGAAAGCAAAAAATTATTCTCATAATCACATAAAATCCATGACCAGATATAATCAACACCCTAAATATTACAATTCATGCTAACACATCTCCTTGTAACACTTTACATGCATAATCTATTTGAATTTGTTTACTTCGCAAAGAACTGTGAAAAACTTCGTACCTATGTTTACAAACAAATAGAAATTCATATTTAATTTTATAGGACAAAGGCAGGCTGTGGTTGGCTCGAAAGGAGACAAAGGTGAAAAGGTGAGGTTTTGAATATATTATTCAAACACCAATTAGGGAGGGGCGAATTCGTGAGTGTTCAAGGATCCCTCAATCTTGTATTCATTGATGGTATTATGAGATGTGAGGTGACTTTTAATTGGATGAGAAGTTTTCGAGGTCTATAATTGATGTCGATAGGCTTATGATGTTTTAAAACAATGCTTTATTTTAATTATTGAATTTGAAATTGCGATTGTGAATTTGAAAAGTGCTGCCTTGTAGCCTATTTGCAGAAATAAAGCTTGATGTTAGTTAAAGTTCAATGTTTATGGTCTGTTTTTGAAATTGATATTACCAAAATATAGTATAATTTCTCTGGGAAATAAACGTAAATTTGTATCAGCTGACTTATTTTGTAGCAATACTACTTAACAACTTGAACACCATGTGGAGAAATGTGGATCACGATAGCGGAGGATTTGCCCTCGATAGTTTTCTAGCGACAACCAAACGCTTGATGTGATTTCGATGTGTAAAAGCATGCTTTCCTATAAAACTCTTTAAAATGTAAACGTTACAGTGATCATGACTTACATCTAATTGATCCTCGAAACAGGGAGAAAAAGGAGGTCGAGGAAACGACGGACCTCCTGGTTTCCCAGGCAAGGATGGCAAGGACGGTGACCGAGGTGACATTGGGCCTTCAGGCATGCCTGGAATCTCAGGACCACCTGGATCTCCTGGTTTAAAAGGAGAGAGGGGCGAAAGAGGACCACCTGGACCTATCAGCGTTACTATGGCTGGATCTGATATTGTCACTATCAAGGTAAGTTTAAGACGATAGAATTCCTTGTGATGTTTTGGGCTATGCTTATTTAAAGGCTAAACGTCTTTGAACATTTGCTAAAAATTGTTAGATAATTATCTTTGTGTGTGAATAATATTCTGTTACTATAATAATGAAGTAGGTTACATGAATTACAAAATAAACATTAAGTTTATATTCAAATTAAACCTTTTTAGTAATTAAAAAACAAAATAAAATAAATAAACGTTTCCAAATATTTAAATGAAAATAATTATTATTTAAATTTAAAATATCTTCACAATTTACCTACGTAGTATTTCAATAGACCGCTAAAACGTTGAAGGTCACAGCAATGCTATTATTTACAAATTATAGTACACACAGATTGATAAACTTGGTAACAATTACATATTAAACATAATTATATAAAGTACTAAACACAGTGATTAAACGAAGAAAGGAAAAATAATGATAAACGGATAATGACTATGATAAAAATAAAGTACTGATAACAGGGTGACAAAGGTGACGCTGGATTACGAGGAAGAAGAGGAAGGCCCGGTCCGAGTGGTCCTAAGGGTACTGCTGGAACACCTGGGCCACCTGGACCACCTGGAAGACCTGGAGATAAGGGAGATATTGGGCTACCAGGATGGATTGTAAGTATTGATAAAGAACGAAAAGAGTGTTGGAAGTGATAATAATGAAATGATTTGCTAATTTATATATTTTTTCTGTTACTCGCTGCTCAGAATGCAAAGGTAAATGAATTTATTAAATTATTTATACTCTTGATGCAGCCATTGTTTTAATAAAAATAATAGTGCAAGTATAATTAACATATTAACATGAAATAGTTTATGATTTTTTGACACAATAATGTTTTGCAGGGACGTCCAGGAACATTAGGACCACCTGGTCAACCGGGGCCAGTTGGACCCAAAGGTGAAAAAGGAGACCCAGGAGTAAACATACTAGATGTATCAATGGTAAGTATTTTATTACAATTACTATACAAATGAACAGGTCATTTTTATCCCTTTAATAAATAATTTAGATACTAATCAAGTAATCAAGAAAATAAAAATCACATTTTAGCAAGGTCATGGCGTCATAGTTATACAATATTTTATTGTCAATTGGTAATCTCAATCTTATTTTACATCACAATACAAGTTACTTTTGAGCTAATAAAAAAGTAATAATACTCCTTCTTCAAAGCAGCATTTGTGTTAAGATAAAAAAGTCAGTCTATATTAAAAATAATAGTTAGTAAGATTTTTGAAGCTACTTCACTCGTCTCCTTATTTTAAGCGGTAGACCGCCAACAAAACCTTCGGAGACAATTCCAGCTGGATCAGGCAATGGTTCCTGGCGACTGCAAGCTGCTGGTTCTACAGAATACTTCTGTAGAACTGCTGCAAGACCAGCCATTGACTGCATCTGTCCTAGTCTGGCACCTGGAAAAAACCATTAGATTTTTTATAACATACAACTCTTCAAAGCTTTATTGGTATGCCTTTGTAAAATATTTGTAGAAATTTGCTGAACAGTCGTTACTAAGCTCATTTTGATCAGCCCTACATATTACTGTAGTATTAGGTATGCTAGCAGCAATTTTAGGGGTAATTTAATAATTTAGATAAGTTACTGATTAGTAATCAGTCATGCATTTTAGATTTGCATAATTGTGTGTAATATCTGTAATTCCCCGAAGAGGTAGGGTACATAGAAATTAATATATTGGGACTAATAAGCTCTATAGTATCAAGGAATATGCTTAGTCGTAGATTAAATTAAAAACATCAAGGTTAGGTATTGCATTTTTAATTATTAGTAATTATATTCAACCCAAATATTATTCTTCTACATCGCAAAATTCAACCTGAGTCTCGACGACTCAATAAATAAGCCAAAGTCCATTTTTGTTTTGAAACAAAACTCACATTCTAATTTAAATTCATAAAACGTACGTGATATATTTACCGATCGTATTTATTTTTTGCTTTGGCATTCGTATCTACACATTAAACGTGATATTTGGTCTCTATTTCTTGATATCTAAAATTGAGAATTCTGTGACATTTTTTCTAATTTGCTACGCTATCATAGTTTTTATATTTTTAGATATAAAGCTTTAAACAGTAGAGTACTTACCAACACAGGATCGTGGGCCCTCTCCAAAAGGCAAATACACGAAGTTCTTAATATCCTCCTTTGTGCCGTCACTAAACCTTTCAGGGTCAAACTTGTTTGGTTCTCTAAAGTACTTCTCATCTCTGTGGATAGCTTGTATAGGTATCATTACTTTAAGGCCATCGTCGATCGTCAAATCAATTTCTGGGAACGTATATTTAGGTACACAGCACTGTCGAATCAAGTACCCAACCGATGGATACATTCTCATGGACTCGTAAAATGCCATCTCCAAATATTTCATCTCCTTGATAGCATCGTAGGTCAGTTTATTGTTATGTTTGGCTAACACAGTGTCCACTTCTTCTTGTACCTTTTTCTGATATTCTGGGTGGAACGCTAACTGATGTAAAGTGTAACTTGAGGCAGTGGATGACGTTTCGAAACCAGCACCGAAGAATACAAACGCTTGAGCTGTCATTAGTAAATCGTCCATTTCCAAATCCACAATTTTTGGAGTTCCATCTGGATTTTTGTGTTCAATAGACTCTCCGATAATTTTTCCCTTTTCTCTAAGCTCTAACATTAGATCAATGAAATCGTTTCTACCTGATGGCTTGTAGTTTCTGTTCTTAAGCACAGTCTGTACTAAATGTTTCATGTTAGTTTCTAACTCGGGTGCTAGGAAATGCATGTGCTTGAACACTTCAGGAAACATAATCTTCAAGGCACCGGCGACTGCATCTCTGAACCTTCTTTCGAAAATTCTTTTACCTAATTTTCTGAAGTGAGAGTTTTCATCGCTCAAAGAGTCCATGTCAATCCCGAACGCGCAGACACCGATAAAGTCTGTTGTGTATCTGGCCATGAGTTCTCTGGCGTCATAATATTCCCTGTCAACGACCTCTTCTGTGATAACCTGCAATTTCTCTGCTCTGTCTGTGATGATATGGAACATTGCCTTCAACTTGCCTGTACTGAAAGCAGGAGTAAATCTCTGTCGGATTAAACGCCATAAGTCTCCGTCAGCAAAGAAAATATTCCTTAACAGGGGTTCGACACAAGTCTTGTGGTAAGTAAGACCTCTTGAGTGGAAACATTGGAAGTCTGTCGTAAGGATCCTCTTGATAATTTCTGGATCTCTTATCACTAATTCTGGATCAGTACCTCTGTAGAATCCGACAACTTTTTCCTCTGGATATTTGTTGTACATTTCAGTAGCCATCATGCACATACTGGCCTGTTGCATGAACTGTTTCAAGTTTGTTCCAAAAATAGGTACTGGTTTATCATGTTTGATGCCTCTTGACTTCCAGTAGTTAAATGTCCGCGTTCCGTAGAAATAAAGTGCCACTAAACCAATTATCACTAGTATGAGGAACATTTTGTTTGGATCGATTACATACACGGGTATAATGTTCACTCTATCCGCGGCCCACGAGTACACTACTGACGAATTGACCGAGCATGCGTATTTAAAGATATCTATATAAAAGCGGACGCGTTAAGCATCTGTGTTCGTGTTATCTGTTTGTTTATCTACTCAAAAAATGTTTAATCATACCTACTGATTATTTGGACCGAACCAAGTAAGTATTTAATCTGTTGCGAACGAGCTCGGCGTTTTGTTTTGATTATTCGACTTAGTATTTTTTTTTATATTATGTTTTACCATTAGTACCAACATTACAATTATCTTAATAGTGATAATAATTAAAACAGAATAGGTAAAATACACTAATATACAGACAGTTCGTGATATTGACTCGTGTTAAAAACGAATTCAAGGTCACAGACGATGATGTTACCTTTGTACCTTATTAGTGTTATTTTGAACATTTTTTTAAAGTATATAGACGGCGTCTAAACCGGAATGACAAGCCCATAGCTTTGTTTTGAAGTCGTTGTTCATTGCACAAAAAAAAATATACGGTTTTGCAATTCTAGCTTTTCGCTACCAGTACGTGTAATAACAAATTGTCTTATTATTATTTATTTATTTGAAATTTAAAAACCCTAAAGTGAATATTTTATTAGCTTACGATTGAATGGTACTGGACTGGGTACAACAAATTGTTTATGTTTTTTTTTAAGAAATAGTTCTTATTTCATACAAAGTTGTCGTGCAAGGTTTTGATACAAGGTCATATCGTTAATTAAATTATATCGATATTTTTTATATTATTGTATAAACAAAAATACGTATAATATTGATACTGAATTCATAACAATAAATATAGCACTATATTGTGTCACATTGAGATTCATATTTTATCAAAAGTTTATTTTTAAATGCATACATATTTATATAAATAATACCACGCTTTTTTACCTCAAGAAGGAAGGCAGAGCTTGGCAGTTTTGGTTCGTATTGCAGAAGTAATTGGGTTGAATTTCAAAATAATAAAAAAAGTAACCTTGAAAATACTAGTTTTAGAAAACTAGTTAATATCTTAAGCATGTTAGAATTTTGAATTACTTAGACAATATTATAGCCTTAACGTATTTTTAAATATCACGCCTTTTTTTCCCTGAATGGGTAGGCGCAGGTACAATGTCACACCCACTTTTCACAATTTTCGTTGTTAGTACTACTACTACTAAGAATTTTAAAAAACAATCCATAATATTTTGCCCTTTAGAATCGAACCCGAGACCTCTTACCCGGCAATCTCACTTGCGACCGCTCTGCCAACGAGGCAGTCTTTTTAAATATTTATCTTAGCATTGAATTTAACCATTTTTGTCTCATGGAAGTATAATTTCTACATTCCTTTTTATTGCACCTGAATTCCTGTTTTGCCTTGTCCAACTGTCAACAACTTTCAAATAAATAAAAGGACTACTTTTCATATTAATAGAGGACATATAAAAACCAAAAAATAACTATCATATTCAAGTGTGGGAGAGCCATGCTTCGACACGAATGGGCCGGCTTGACCGGAGTCATACCACGGCCTCCCAGACAACCGACGTGAAGCAACGCTTGCGTTGTGTTTCGTCGTGTGAGTGAGGTTACTGGCGGCCCAATTACCTTTCCCCAATCTCCCCAATTCTTGAATCCCCAACGATCCTCAAACTCCTAATCCCCAAAAGGCCGGTAACGCACTTGTAACGCCTCTGGTATTCCAAGTGTCAATAGGCGACGCCGAATGCTTACCATCAGGTGATCCGTCTGCCCGTTTACCAGCTTATGACATAAAAAACGTAGTTACAGGTTACCCACCCACTGATAGGTGAGAAGTCGAGGCCACAAGTTTCAAACAAATGTTATTTTAAACCCGTAATAAATACCTTATATTACCTAAGCTGTGTACAATTTTGACACTATCTTTTATGGACAGATTTAACGAAAAAAAACTGGATGTCAAAAAAGTCCAAATTGACAAAATAATTTTAACATAACATAACATCACGCCTTTTATCCCCGAAGGGGTAGGTAGAGGTGCACACAGAAGTAACACCCACTTTTCACTAATTATGTTATGAATCCCATGTGAAAGGGGGTGAGCCTACTGCCATATACCGGGCACAATTTCATACTCCGTGCTACTACTGAGATTTTTATTAAAACCCAGTATTACTTTGCCTGACCCGGGAATCGAACCCGAGACCCCTAGCCCGTCGGACTTGCGACCACTCGGCCAACGAGGCAGTCAAAATAATTTTATTAATTGCATTAACATTTAGAACATTACAATCTCAACAAACAATATCATGTTGGTTTATTTTAAAATTAATTAAAAAAAGAGTATTTTTAACCGTGACATTTTCAATACGGGTTCCGCACCAAGTACATTTGAACCGCAAAATCTTTCGGCAAACTGAAAAAGGTTCGTGTTGACTGATTTGAAATTCAGTACACGTCCGTTACGGGGCTGTTATGTAAATATAATCACATACAAGAGGACAGGCGGGCTTAACGAACCCACTGGGGCACACAGGGATCCCAAAAAGAATGGCATATAATAAAATGAGTGGTTTAAAAAAAAAAATGAAACAAGACTGGTTTTCCTTGCTTCTTTCAAGTATATAAATTAAAATCGCAGTTTTTACAGAACATAAATATTTTATTTTGAGTAACTGAACCATAGTCTAAGCTATAACTGTCGAGTTTAATAGGGTATTAGCATCACTATACATGCCGACTCGGAGTCGCGGATAACCTAACGGGTTACCGGGGCTCCGGCTCGACGTGCAGGAGAAGGAACGGGGTGGTTTTTAGTCAGTAAGAGTCTGACACTCCCTCCCGCCTCACCCAGGAGGGAGCAGTCATTCGATGATTTTCCCCCCTTAAAAAAGCATCACTATACATACTTATTTATAATAACTCTTTTTGCCGTGTCAGAGCTTGAGACTAACGAATGAAAGTTCTTGCTCGTTCTTCTCCACTCGAATCTACATTTTGGAACAAGTGCCTAGCTTCACTGACGCACAGACTGACAGGCTATTATTTATTCTATATTTGTTGACGTTTCAAAAGTATCAAATTATGGTTTAATTAAAATAAATGCTTTCGAGTTTGCGTTTGAGTTTCTTCTCAGAAAAAGATGTATCATTAACATACCAAGACAAGAAGATACACGACTTTCTATTACAAAAAAAAATTGTAAAGAGACACACAATGTATCGCGATATAAAAAAGATACAAACCACCATTGTTTTTCAAAAAACACCTCTTTTTAAGCGTAAAAACGGGTAACTTTTTCCTCTGACCTCCACCTCTTTATAGCGAAATTATCCCGACGAGGGAACACCATAAAACAAAGTTAGTTCCCAACCTGTAGCGCCGTAAACTGAGATTTTCTGTGTCATCCTTAAGCTTACAACTTCGGAGTTTATAGAGAACTCTTTGCCATGTTTATGTGGTTATATATTTTGACCTATGAATTATACAGGACGTTAAGATTGACTGTCACGTTGGTTTTCACAGCGATGTCTTGGGTATGATGAAGCACGGTTAGGTTTTCTAATGGGGAGTTGGTCAACAATTATCTTACTAATAGGGGAGGATGGGGGAATTACGGACGCTGAAGGGAAATAACGCACAACATTCGGACTATCAGTAATAATCAGTCTGTCTTTATTAATTATTAATCTTTAGTTATACATCTACAAAAACAATTAACCTTATTAAACGAGATCAATCAACAAATAGAATATTTTCGGCAAAAACAAAACCTTGTCTGTCCGTAATTACCCGTAGCGCTCGGGGTAAATTCGGACGGACCCTGGGTTAATTACGGACAGCATGGGGTATTTACGGACTAGGTCCACATCATCGACAAAAATCACAAGTAAAGCCTTTAGAAGAACTTCCTTCAGTGCAGTTCTCATGAGCCCACTTGTTACACTTTGAACACATAATCCAGTCTTCGGCGGGTGGATCACTGTACTTTTCCTGACAATAAATGCAAAAGTAATCAACATTTTCTTCATTTTCAAAATTATTCAGATTTCTTACACCCTTTAATCCTTTTCCTGTAGAAAGTTTTGACTTTTTTAGCTTATTAGATGTAGTTTTATTTTCTTTTTCTTGAGCTTTTCTTTTTTTATCTACTTTCTTTTGGTTCTTTTCTTCTAGATTCTTTTTTTCCGGTGTGCTGGTAAAAATAATGGAATGCTTTTTGTTTACTGCCCGTTTGCTACGATGAATTTGTATAGTTGGGACCTTTATTAAATCACTAAGCGGTACTGATGACGATTGGCTTGTTTGACTTGTCGTACATTGGTATAAATCGGCTTCACTTATAGCATTACTAGCTTTTACCCGCGGCTTCGCTCGCGTCACAAAAAGATAAAACGTAGCCTATGTGACTACCCATCCGTTCAACTACCTTCAGTTGAAAAATCACGTTAAGTATCTGCGTTTTGCCGTTTAAGACAGGCAAACAAACAAACAGCTGTTCGCTTGCGTGGAATTCGGTTATAACGCGCGTTTTAGATTTTTCCGTGGGAATGAGAAGTTCTGCCGAGGTAAAGCCTTGCTTTTCCAGGACTCAAACTACCTTTATACCAAAATCGATTCAGCCGCGTGAAAGAACAGAAGAAGTTATTTTCGCATTACCACAAATACCTCCTCCCATTTTAATTTAAAAGACTTCTATTTCCTATAAGGGTTATATTTGCAATGCTAAACCAAAACTGAGTGGTAAACTATATTATACGTTTTATTATCGAAAACCTAACTACTTTAGACATCTACTTAGAAATAAACCACTTCACTAATCTAACCTAACTAATATAGCTACTGTATCAATCAACGTAAACAATGAACAAAACGTCTTAGAACTTAGGAACGACGAAAAAAAATTACTATAGTACTTTAAATATCTACCTAGAAAAAATAACACTTGACTTATCAAACCTACAAAGCGAACAAAT